CCCCCGCCTTTTAAAACATTGCTTGTAAGTAGCGTATAATAGATTGTTTGACTAGTTTTTTGTAGGGATGGGGCATATATATATATATATATATATATATATATTTCACATATTTATAGTTTTCTTCAATTTTTATGTAATTTTACATGTTTATAAATATTTACTATCATTATATTATTTTATAAAATATTAAAAATTAAATACCTATGGAGCTTACGCCCGTGCCTCGGTGCTTACGCCTCGCTGAGACATATGTAAAACACCTCGCCTTCCGCCCACGCCTTTTAAAACACTGGTTGAATACCCACTCTCCAACATTAAACTGTCTGTCTGGTCTTTTCTTGTTGGCTTGGTCGACCATCCTCCATTGAGACCTGGACAGATGAAACTTAAGTAGCTACAACTTGAGCTCCCTTGCCGTCAAGCTTCTATCCACTTCTGGTACCCCTGAATCTCCTTACATATAAGGCAAGTATAAAGGTGGAGGCTGACCATAAAAGGCTTTCATATGGTGTGGTCTGAGTGGATGTGTGAAAGGTGTTGTTATATCACGATTCTGCAAAGATCAAATAATGTCCCAATCTGCAGGTGAGTCAGAGCAATAGCATCGCAAATAAGTCTCCAAACACATGTTGATAACCTTAGTTTGACCATCGGACTGTGGGTGGTAAGTAGTAGAAGTGTTTAAGGTCACTCCTTGGGTAGCAAACAGTTCCTGCCACAATTTGCTCGTGAAGATTGGGTCCCTATCACTCACAATATCTTCAAGCATTCCATGAAGCTTAAAGATATTTTCCATGAACAGCTTGGCAATGTCTATTGGAGAATAATGATGTTTAACTGCTACAAAATGAGCATACTTTGTCAATCTATCCACCACCACACTAATGGCTTCTTTCCCATTAGCCTTAGGCAACCCCTCGATGAAATCCATGCTAATGCTACTCCATGCCAGTGCTGGGATTTGTAGTGGTTGCAACAGCCCTAGAGATGTAGAGTGGTCATACTTGTTTTTTTGGCACACATCGCATTTTTTAACATAGTTCTCTATATCTTCCTTTATCCCCCTCCAGTAATACAGAGCAGCAACCTTCCTGTAAGTATGGTCAATTCCAGAATGACCACCAGTAACTGAGTCATGCCAAAGTTGAAGTATCTCCTTCCTAAGCATTGCATCAGACCCAACTACTAGTCTCTCATTCTTTCGCAATTGCTGATTAATGAAAGAATACCCGTTCACTTCTTCTTTGAGATTATCCAATCGATGCATTAACTCTTGTAACTCTGGATCTGTACTCCAGCTATTCATGATGGCCTGTAGTAGGTCAATTCTCACAGTGGATAGTGAGAGAACAGTAATTTCCACCGCAGGAATCCTGGACAGAGCATCTGCAACTTTATTCTCCCTGCCTTTCTTAGATTCAATTTCAAAGTCATACTGCATAAATTTAGTCACCCACTTCAATTGTGCTCCTGTGTGCAACTTTTGCTTAAGTAGGAATTTTAAGGCTTTCTCGTAAGTTTTAAAAATGAAATGTCTACCTGTTAAATACTACCCCCACCTTTTGACAACCATTACCAATGCTAGCAACTCTCAGACATAACTTGGTGTTGTTGAGATAACCCTTTACTTAGATATGCAATAGGATGGCACTTCTTCATTATCACAACTCCAATTCCCACATCACATGCATCAGTTTCGACTGTAAATATCAAACTGAAATCTGGCAGAGCTAACACTGATGCAGTGGTTAGAGTATTTTTCAATGACTGAAAAGTTGCAGTTGCCTTCCTAGCACACTTGAAACTATCTCTCTTCAATAGATCAGTCAGGGGCTTGCTAATCTGCCCATAGCCCCCTGATGATGAATCTTCTGTAATATCTAGCCAACCCCAAGAAGCCTCTTAATTGCTTGAGAGTGGAAGGGGTTGGCCACTCTTGTACTGACTGGATCTTCTTAGGATCAGTAGAGACCCCCTTGGCAGAGATATAATGTCCAGGTACTCCACACTTGTTGTAGCAAAATGACATTTAGATTTCCTGGCAAAGAGATGGTGCTTCATCAACAACCTAAAGGTCTCCTTTAAGTGATCCATATGATCCTAAAACCAGTATATCATCAAAAAACACTAAGATAAATTTTCTTAAATACTCTTGATATAGACAACTTATGAAATGAAATGTATAGCTGTCATCATGGTTGCAACGTTTGAATTACTTGCATCTTGGCCCGACGTGTCATAATGAACAACTACACATGTGATGCTACATTACAAGGACTTAAGCATTCATGGAATTGAAGATGAAACCCTACCCTTGTAAGCTCTTACTTCACTAGCATAACAAATACTACCACTACTTATGACATCTTTCTTGATTTACAACTGAATCATCTAATACTATACAACTTTCAGTGCTTACCATAAATGGTTTTAGAGTCAGGATTAGAAGAGTTTAACTTTTTCTTCATACCTTTACTTACTGCAAATTACATCGTACCTGCATCTTGGACATGGCTAGGGGCGGACCTACATAGGGTATTGTGGGGGTCACGGACCCTCGTTAGCCTCAACAAAAATCATGTATATATATGTTATATATGTCTGTATGTACACTGAGGACCCCTTAGCTCCCTTAAACATAAAAGTTGGATGGCGAGGCTGGTTTACTGGACTGCTGCAAGTTCCTTACCCGACCTGGGTTCGAAACCCACTCTATAACTTAACCTTTTGTTCTAATTTGTTTTTTTGGCAACTTTTTCTTACTAGTAAATAAAGTCACATCCTTTTTTACTTACTATTACTCCCTTATTTTACTTACTAGTTTCCGGACACGTACTCCGCACGTGTACACCCAGCACCCATCATTACTTAATTGTAGTAAAAAAAAAAAAAATTATCACCTATATTGCATGTATATTCTAAAGTGCTTGAGTTTCAAACAAATTTTATAGCATACAAAAAGTTAATTATTGTATATCATTTAATATTTTTAACTTCTTAACTTTCTTTCTGAGTGATGCACGTAATTAAAAGTTATATTAATCGCTTTAATTTATTTGTAAACACTATGAAAAAAGGAAAGAAAGATTCAGTTCTCCTTGTTATGGAAGCTTTTGAAACTTCTCGCTTGAAATTTTCATGTTTATTTTTGCAACAAATTCAATTATTTTTATTTTCTTTCATTGACTGGTAAAAAAAATATCAACGTTCTAATTTGTAATATTCACAGTCATGATAAAACTCATAAAAAGTAAATATTTAAACCTTAAGAGAAATGACAAGGAACAAAATTTTAAAAATAGTTAGACGAAAATAATTGAAGTGGTCAAGATATTATTTGATACACCCTCTAAATACATAAACAACACCATTTTTTGGGTCGTAAATCGTTATATATGAATATAGTATATATTGTCTTCTCATCTCAAAATATTATAATCTTACACACTAAAAAGAATCCATCAATTAATGTCAATCCTAAAATCAACCTTTCAGAGAAGATCCCATATATCTCACGAGCTCGCTCTGCTAGTATCACATGTGGTTTTCATCATCCGTGAAGTTTGAAAGTAGTAAGAGTTGAAACTATTCTATTCTAGCATCCATCATATCTACATACTTCTCCAGCTCTCAATATCTTTTATTTCCTACAAATTTTTATGGATGAAAAAGAAAGAAAAGGAAACGAAAAAAAGAAAGAAAACGAAAATGTAAGATCAAAGAAAATTTGCTCCTCCAAAAGCGTGCTTGTGAGAAATGAAAATCATTTCGTTGCCTTTATATTTTTTTCTTGGTTGGTGTTCTTTAGCTTTCCCTTGTATATATTTATTAATAGAATTAACCTCCATTAATTTACTTACGTGTAACTCCTCATTCTACAAATTTTTGTAGTAACGAATAGGTTGGCTGAATTAGTTTGGTTAATGCACTGGTTAATGAGGGAATAAGTTACAAGAGTTACAGAAGATGAAATGTGAAAAGTTTGATATGTAAATAATAATTAAAAAATACAGCTGACATTATTCATTTAATATAATATTTTTATTGGGTGAAGGACAAAACGGTCACTCAGTTTCTAATGGATAATTTGGTAATTCAACCTTAATTTTGAAGGTTCCCCTTATAATATAGTATATGATATGATGATTATTACTCCCTTACTAGTCAATTGGTTTACTTTTGTTTCTATAATCTTTTTTGAATTAGTTTATTTTTGTTACGTAATTGTCAATTTATTTTATTCCTTTTCCAGTCCTTTCCTCACTCCTTTTTTTTTTGGACTTTCTACTACTCCCTTACTAGAAATTAGTTAATTGTTTTCTTTTATCTTTTCAAAATTAGTTTATTATTAGTACATAATAATCAATTATATTTTATTCTTTTCCAAATCCCTCCCTCCCTCTGCTTAGAACTTTCTCTTTTTTGAAAGCTTTATCTGAGAAAAAATCTAAACATGTAACTTAAAGAACTAAGAATGATGGGGAAGTATAAAGAACTAAAAATGATGGGGAAGTAGAACATATTGTCTTTACAAGAATGGGAGGGCAGTCGGATCCACGTAATGACTAATAAATTTTACCTTTTGAAGATTGTAAAATAAAAACAACTTGGACAATTTCCTATGTGATTCTTCCCTTCCATATGGACATTCACAAGTGGCTTGTGATTTTCTATGCATTAGCAAGATATATATTTTCTCAATTCTAATTAGTGATACCTAAACATTTAACTCATATCTTATTACATCGGGACATTCGATATAAAAATTTACACATTAAAGTTTAAACCTTTGCCCTTTGCGTATGAAAATGCTTAGAGACAAGTATGAGCGCATGATGTACTTTTATTATATTAGTACCAAATTAATGATATTCGACAATATTAAATTTGTATTGTGTTGATATATTATCGTAATCATTTAAGTTTTCAAAGAGTTGTCTTCTGTTGCTAGTAATTTGCATATATAAAATTATGGTGTTGCCGTTGTGCTCTCAAATTCTGAGTCCGCCTCGGAACATGGCCAAATTGTTAACGCAGCGAGGCACGAAAGTCACTTTAGTCGTGACACCTATCAATGCTATTCGAGTCAAAGAAGTACATTGCATCCAAGATTTTCTAATCAAAGAAGTACACTGCAGATAAAATTTTCTAATCAAAGAAGTACATTGCATACTTGTGCATTCTCATTTTAAGATGATCTGTTAAGTTGGAATTCTTGTATTTCTTTGATTAAAAGTTCCAAACTGAGATAAGAAGATCCAGCACTTTCTACAGCCCTTTTTGCCATTTCTCCAAGTTCTCTGGCTCTTTTTCTGCTCTCTTTTCCTTCTTCCTCCTTGTCCTTCACTATTTTAATGGCTTTGATTATTTCTTCCTTGCTCACTTGGGCCTCAAACTTCCCTTCCTCGCCAAAATGAATCACTTCCTGACATCCAACACTCACACCCGTCTTCAAGACATGTACTATGAATTTCTCATTCAAAAATTGCTCTGATAATAAAGGCCATGTGATCATAGGTACACCAGAAGCAATCCCCTCAAGGGTCGAATTCCAACCACAATGAGTCAAGAACCCATCAATTGCAGGGTGTTATAGAATTAGTACTTGTGCTGCCCAGCCACGGATCAAAAGCCCTCTTTCTTTTGTTCTTTTTTCAAATCCATTTTCCAATATCCAGTCCTCTATCAGTTCTTGTCCTTCCCCTTCTTTTATGACTAAAATGAATGGATAACCTGAGGCTTCCAGGACTAAAGCTAGCTCCACAAATTGTACAACTGTAATACGACCAAGGCTTCCAAGACATGTATACACAACAGATTCAGGCTGCCAAGAATCTAGCTATTTTTTCATGTAAAATGAGGCCTTGTTCCCTCTCTGAGATTTTTCTAGATTGTCATTATTACAAAGAGACAAAGGTCCAATACACCAAACTCTACCATCTTTACGTTTTTGGAAATTGTCAACATACCTTTGTTCCAACTCCTCGAAAGTATTGATGACAACCCCATAGGATCTTGTTTCAGCTGCTCGTATTTTGTCACGAATATCTTGTATGGAAATGGTTCCTGGATGGAATGCTGCTGGCAGCTGAGCTTTAGTGACCTCAATTCTATCTGGTAAATCAGGAATAACAAAAGAACCCGAGTCTGGGATTTTGTTTTGATCCTTCATGATGTACAAGTTATGCAAACACACTTCACTGAAGCAACTAATTCCATCAAAAAGGATTCTTGGAATCTGAAACTTATCACTTGTATCAGCTGTCCAAGCAATAAGCGTATCGGAAATAATGCAACTTGGCTTAGGCTTCATCTCTTCAAGTAAATTTTCAGCTTCATTTTGTAGCATATCAGTTGCATTATAGAAATTTCTTACAAAAGCCATAGAGGGCAGAAGATTCAGGCTTTCACATCCCTCTGGAAGTCCTGCTTCCTTGTCTGGAAACTGGAGCTCAAGTACCCGAATGAGGAGTCCATAACCCATGGCGCGATCAATTACTGCAGTAAATGGGGCAGCATTAAGAGGTGTCAACACTAAAGTGTCACACCTCGACGTGCTAAAAATTTGGCAATGTCAACCATGGGTATTATGCGACTTGCAGAGAGTAAAGGTATCAAAACAAAGTTTAGCTCTGCTAATGCTGGATTATTTGAAGCCATTTTTTTTTTGGTAAGAACTGAAAGCTAGTGTTAGATGATTTAGATGCAAATCAAGAAAAATGGAAGGTGGTTTTATATAAGTAGTAGTGTTAGTAGTATTTGCTAAGGTTGGGATGTAAGAGCTTACATGTGCATTAAATTTTATAGGCAGAAGATGCATCTATAGGGCTTCAACTACACTCTGATTTATGTTTCAAATTGTCGTGGAATCTTAGTTGGCTTGTAGCCTCACGAGTAGCGTTATATACAAAAATCTCTTTTTTATTTGTACATTATAGCTAATCGATTTTGTCTCTATTCACATTTAAGAGTAGGTGATGATAATATAATTATCAGTTATTGTCTTGAAGAAATCAAAACAGCAAACGTTGCACCGGTAGGAATCTTTTTGAATTGTTTTTTTTTTCCGGGAAACAAAGTATGCATTAATCAAACCCAACAATCAATGGTACAAAACCAAATGAAGCCTCGTTGACAATCCAAACAGGAAAGTTGTCAAACCAAGAGACTTCACTAAGTAGTGAGAAAGAAAATTTAGCTAACTTATGGCTACAAGTATTAAACCCTCTACTAGATACTTAAAATATACATCAATCAGATGTTGCTGAAGTGCCGAAATATCTTCGCAAATAGTATTAACCTCCCATGAAGGACCTCTGCTTCCATTAAGCATTTGAACTATTGTTAAGGAATCAGACAAGATATGTATATTCTTCCATCCATACTTCACCGCCAGTTAAATTGCTTTCCTTATTACCAACACTTCAACTATTATGGCTTTTCCAACAAAACAGATTGGACTACCATATGCATAAAGCACGTCGCCATTAGCCTTTAAGGCTACCATTCCAATACTCGCTTTGCGAGTCTTTGGATCCAAACCTGCATCTACATAAAGCAATATTTTTTCTGAAGAAAGAGTTAGTAAAGGTGTGGTAGTAGAAGCATCTCTCATAGTGTTAACATGTTCCTTTGCAACTGTAAATTCATTAAAATCAAATAATGCTTTAGATAAAATATCATTTTCACTCCATATCACCGAATTAAAAATAAAATCATTCCTAGCCTTCCAAATCATCCATAAAATAGACACTGCCAGTTGCAATAAGGTATTAACTTCCGAGAATCTTTTGGTGTCTAACACTAATTTATACCACCATGTAGCAAAATCAGAGACCAGATGCAAATTTGGCCAACGAATCAGACTCATTTTCCACACGTTAATTGATCTAGGACATTTAAAGAACATGTGCTCTAAAGTTTCAGATTCCATGCCACAAATAGGACAGATGTCATCCGTAGAGTGAATTCTTTTTGTAATAACATTCTTAACAGGCAATGTATTTAAGACACACTTCCTTAAGAAATGTTTGAGCTTGCTTTTAATATTTGAAGACCATAAATGGTTCCAAAAGGATTTCGGGAACACACGAGAACTACTTTCCGCACGATTAGCCAAACTTCTATCATTTGTGAGGAGCAATTTCGCAAGATAATAACCAGACTTCACTTCGTATTTACCCGAATTAGTAAAATACCAAATCAGTCGATCATTGCCCCAACGGAAGAAACTGGAATAGTTAAAATAGATTCGACATCATCTTCGCTCAATAAAGTATTCAAAATATGAATATTCCATGTGTTAGTACTGTTATCAATTAGTTCTAATACTTTCAGATTTGCAGCAGTACCACTCATCATACTTAAGGGGTAAAAGGAGCTATCTCATGGTAGCCATGGATCTCTCCATATTCTTACAGATTTACCCTTTGAAACATTCCATCTAACACCTCTACTTAATAGATCTCGCCCCCATAAAATACTTTTCCATACCCAATATGTAGATCTATTGGTCGGTGCCTGTAAGAAAGATTTCTGAGGAAAATATTTACCTTTAAGGACTTGAGAAACTAACAAATCCGGTTCAGTCAGAATTCGCCATGCTAGTTTGGCTAAAAGAGCCATATTAAAAGCCTTTAAATCTTAAAAGCCTAACCCCCCTTTCAATTTTGGTTCACATAGTTTTTCCCACTTTTCAAAATGCATCTTTCTCATCGATCGTACCCCACCAAAAGTTTGAAAATAAACTAGTAATTTCCTTACATGGTGCATCAGGTATCTGAAAACAAGACATACCATATAAGGGAATAGCAGCTAAAACAGATTATAATAAAACCTCATTCCCTGCTTGACTTAAAAACTTTCCTTTCCAACCCTTTATTTTTGATAAAATTCTATTCGTTAGGAAGTCCAACATTTCTTCTTTAGATCTTCCCACAATAGCAGGCAATCCTAAATACATCACCCTTTCACACATTCTTATATTATTCAATGAAGAACATATTGTAACTTTTTCCTCCTCCATAGTATTCTTACTAAAGAAGAATGCAGATTTCTCAAAATTAATTATCTGTCCTGAGCATCTTGCATATATGTCCAAAATTTTATTAATCGTAGCAACACTATTCATATCAACTCTACAAAAGATAAATGAGTCGTCTGCAAAAAAATAAATGGGAAACAGAAGGACTACTTCTCCCTAATGTGAACCCTTTTTTTTTTGATGAAGTAAGGAGAATTCATTAAAAGCATCCAACAGATGCAGGCAAAAGATTACAATTAAGAGAGATGGCATCTGCTCATATACACAAAAAACTATTATATCACTAGGGAGCAGACACAATCAAAAATTGAACAGAACTAATTACATGTGCGTGATTTAGCCAACTAAATAAATTCAATAAGTATTTTTCTTTGACTACATGGATCGAAGTTGAGATCCCATCAAAACATCTATGGTTCCTTTCATTCCAGATATACCAAAAGTGTCACGACCCAAAACCAACTGTCATGATGGCGCCTATCGTGAAACTAGGCAAGCCAACTACTCAACCAGGTCAACCAAATAAAAGCTTTGAAAATTAAACGGAAGCAGATAATACTTAAGGAAAACCCTTTAAAAACCGAAATAAAACCACAACGCAATATAATTTCTCCCAAAAATCGGGGTGTCACTGAGTACATGAGCATCTATACCACGATACAGCCTACTACAATGTCTGAGGAATAAGAACTGAAATACAAATAAAGATAATGAAGGAGGGTCAAGGCCTACGAACACCATGCAGCTACCTCGATAGTCTCCGAGATCTCGACTCCTCAATCAGCAGCCACCATAATCGGAAACACCTGGATCTGCACACGAGGTGCAGGATGTAGCATTAGTACAACAAACTTAATAAGTAACAAATCCAAACTGTGGACTGAAAGTAGTGACGAACTCAACCAGCATAGTTCAATACAGAAAATAACAGTGCAGAAATGTAGACATGCTTTCAAGTTCGATAGATATCTCAAAACAGTAAAAATGGATCAAATCAATGATATGAAGAATATAACTCCTCTACTTCTACATGCCAATGCACATGCTGTATGTGATGTACCATGCTGACAGCCTCATGTGCTCACACTCTCAAATGCTCAATCACTCGGTACTATATATGGCCCATATGACCCAGGGAAGATCCATCTCAAAATATATACATCACTGACCATCCGTCATCCGGTACCGAGTAGGGCCAATCCAGCCCGTGGAGAAGATCCATCTCCAGGTATATAATGCTTCGGCTAAGATCCATGTCCAGGGAAGATCCATCCCTCACTATAATCAACCGCGCTCACTGGGGGTGTGTGCAGACTTCGGAGGGGCTCCTTCAGCCCAATCGCTATCATAAATCAGTATAACCGATGCGGCGTGCAGTCCGATCCCATAAATGCCACTCATAATCAGGCCATCGGCCTCACTCAGTCATCAATCTCTTCAGTCTCTCTCTCTCACGGGCTCACAGTGTCATGATACTAGCCCGAAAATAATGATATGATATATCAATAAATAACAACAGAGACTGAGATGTGATATAAAATGAATGAATATGATTGGGTACGAAATATCAATAAAATCAATAAGACAACAACAAAAAACGACCACTATGGGTCCTAATAGTACCAGCATAAAACCTAAACATGATATCTAGCATGAATGACAACTCAATTACTTTATCACACGATGAAAACATGGATATCTACAAGATAAAACCACTAGACAGTGCCATGGAATCGACTAGGTCAAAATTCTCATGGTGCACGTCCGCACGCCCGCCACTTGGCATGTGCGTCACCTTAATACCAATCACATAGCACATAAGTTCGGGGTTTCGAACCCTCAGAACCAAGTTTAGAAGTGTTACTTACCTCAATCCGAGCAAAACTCTACTCCAACACACCTTTGCCTCGAAAATCGGCCTCCAAATGACCCGAATCTAGCCACAGGCAGTACAATACAATCAATACGGGCTAAAGGAATCAATTCTACAAGGAATTACGAGGTTATAACTCAAAAATCCGAAATCGGCTCAAACCCGCCCCCCCGAGCCCATGTCTCGAAATCCAACAAAAGTCACAAAACCCGAAAGCCCATTCACTCACGAGTCTAGTCATACCAAATTTATCAAAATCCGACACCAATTGGTCATTCAAATCCCCAAAATCAACTCTCCAAACCCATAACCTAAAACCCCCAAATTACACCTCAAAAACACACCATCTAGGTGGAAAATCAGTGGGGAAATATAATTATTGAAGAACAATGAACATAAGGAACTTACCTCAAGAATCCCCTTGAAAATTCTCTCAAAAATCTCCAAAATCCGAGCACAAAATGTTAGAAAATGAAGAAAATCGCAGACCCTTATGTTTATATGCTCTGCCCAGTCAAACCGCACATGCGGTCCCAAAATCCGCTTCTGCGGTCCCGTTCTTGCGGTGAAATCTCCGCATTTTCGGAATTAACTTACCCAGCGTACCTTCGCTTCTGCAACGCCCAGTCCGCTTCTGCGGACACGCTCCTGCGAAGGGCCATCCGCTTCTGCGAAGATGCCTCACCAAGCGCCCATGCTCTTCTGCGATCCAACACACACATCTACGGACACGTTGGTGCGGAA